CACTCTGATAGGGGATGCAGGTGTCTTAACCGATAAGCTTTAAGTATAGTCATACACCAGGTGGCCTCTCTCAGCCGTAGGTGCTGTCAGAGCCCCTCTGAGAGGGACAGAGGCTGGCAGGCCTGCCTGCTGACCCAGGCAGCAGCTCTGAGACCTGCTTCCTGGAGCAAGTCACACCGTGCTGGCCCCATCACCCTCCCCCACATTCCCCAGGGCGCTCTGCAATACAAGGCTGCTTTTCAAAGTTCATGGAAAATGAAATTAGAAGATAAGTTTGGGTGCAAAAACATTGTGAAATCCATGCCTAGATTTTTCTTTTTTTTTTTTTTAAGTTTTTGTTTATTTATTTGAGAGGCAGAGTTACAGACAATGAGAGGGAGAGACAGAGAGAAAGGTCTTTTGTCTGCTGGTTCATTCTCCAGATGGCCGCAATGGCTGGAGCTGTGCCGATCTGAAGCCAGGAGCAAGGAACTTCTTCTGGTCTCCCACGCAGGATCGGAAGTGGAGCAGCCGGGACTAGAACCGGCACCTACATGGGATGCTGGCAGGCAGCAGCTTAGCCTACTACACCACAGTGCCAGCCCCCAAATATCTTTTCTAATAAAATATATGAAATGTCATTTTCCCAAAAGAACAGGAACCCAAGAAAATCTACCCTTCAGATGGCCCTGAACACTGCCCAGCATTTCACAGCCCTACAGGCTGCTGCTGTAAACTTTGATTCTCTCATCTGCAACCCCAACCCCTGGGGCGAGCAGCCTCAGTACAATGGGCCACATTTAAATCCGCACACCATTGACACTGGCCCTAGGTGCCCCCCGCTGGATTAGTAGGACCTTGGCTCCTCTTTTCAGTGGACCTTCCAGAGAATAAGTTTTGACAATGCTTTATTGACAGCACCAGAGGGCAAAAGAGCTTAACTCAAGCTTAACAGAGAGCTGACCCCAGCTCTGATGCTGGCTGGCTGCTGTGGCCCGGAGCCTGCTTGCCCCAGCCAGGCGACAGGGAGCCACAGGTTTGTTACTGTCCTCGGAGTCCAGGCAGCAGTACCCGAAGGGCCCAGAGGGAGGACAGATCCCGACCTGTCTCTTGGCACCTGTCTGTGTCCACTTCCTGTCCCAGCACGTGCCTCTCCCTGGGCAGGTGGATTGCCCAGTGCTCTCTGAAGAAACCCCATCCTCTATGCACCAAGAGTCAAATCACATGAAAACACAGGGCTTGCTGTCTGCAGAGTGGGAGGGAGACACAGGAACACTGTCACCCGTCCCAGCTGTTCTGGGAGGGTGTAGAAGCCAGTGTTCAAACCTGGGCAGGGAGCTGGGAACCCTTTCTGCAGGTGACTGGGCTTGAAGGGGACATTCAGAGATTCAAAGTGCAGCCAAAGGCATAAATAGACGGCGAGACTGGGAGGGGAGCAGTACCCAGGAGGGGCTGGTTTTGTGACTCCAAGGCCACAGCCCTGACCTTGAGCTTGCTCCCTCCCTCCAGGGCCTCTGGGATGCAACCACTCATGGCACCCAAGGCTGCTTCTGGACTGCACTACACCAGCCAGATAGATCTCAGGATGCCCTGCCCAAACGTCCTGAACCTACTTCCAGGGCCCCTTCTTCCCACAAGGGCCTGGGGATGGCCTGGGGTTGGGGTGGGGGGTGGGGGGTGCATTGAGGACTGATTGCCCACAGGCATGCTGGGAGGGGGACTGTCCTCAGTGTGGGATGGAGCTGGAGGGGGGGGGGCGGAGAAGAGTGATTGCCAAGTTGGGACTAGAGACTGTGGCATCCCCACTGCCACTCCCTGACGCGGTCACCAGGCCTGACTTCTGAGTTGGAGCCTGGCTTTCAGACAGAAAGCTCTGTATTTTCCGGTGAGAGGACAGAATGGGATCTCTAACCTTTGTCCTGTTGTCTTGTAACCAGTGCAGCAGCAGCAGCACAGCCCCCACTGTGTATCCCTGCTCTGGCAGGCCTCAGACGCTGGCCAAAAGCCCCTTCCTCCCAACTTGCAGCAAGGTGACAGGGTCCCAGTCTTGGGAGGCTGTGATGATTCTGCACAAAAGCACGCAGTGCCGAGCCCTAGTGACTGTCCCACCCTCTCCATCTTAGTGTGGGTGGGAGACAGACGTCCCAGCTAACGGGGAAGGACCTACAAAAACTCCAGGAAGTCAACTTATCTCGCGATGAATGCAAGGCACGATGGAGTTCCTGAAGCCACGTGACACCTGCTTCCTGGCTTGACCCAATACCTGGGACTCGAATTCCAGGCAAAGGATCAGCACTGGAAAGGCGGCTATTTCAGCAAACCACCGAAGCTTCTACAGCGGACAACTTCCTATAAACTGCTGGATACACTGCTTAATTCTTAGGGAGTGAGCAACCCAAGCTGAAGGAAGAGCTCCCCTGGGACCACGCAGACCTCCACTGCCAGCACTGTGCGGAGCAGCCAGGGAAAGGTAGCATTTACTCAGAGTCGATGATTACAGCCTAAATAAGAGGGCTGAGCTCTCAGAGGACGGAGGCTGGATAATCACAGGCTGAGTCTGATAGGGGAAGAGGCATGGGCAAAACTGGTGTCCCCACCTGCTTCCCCTGTGTAAGGAAGGACGTAGCGGCCATGAGGAGGTGGAGTGGCAGCCCCAGGGGCAGGGGTATTCTGGCTAAAATGACCCCTAATCTTGAGAACATCTGAACAACTCCAGAAGAAAAATAAATGTTTTTAAGTCCACCCCTTCCTACCCCAGCACACTAGGATTTTTTCTCAAAAGTTTTCATATATCGGAAAAGAAACCGCTGGTGCAAATTACAGAGCAGGGCTGCTTTCTCATTATGTGGCATTGCCCCTTGGCCTTGGCGACGGGGTGCAGGGGGCGATGCTCCCAGATTCTCCGGTCTGAAGTGGTCCCCGAATTCTCCACCAAGGCCTTAGTGTGGATGTACATCCAGATGCCTCCTCACCATTACCAGAAAATCAGAGCCCGAGGCTCTTGGTGGGCCCTCAGGACAAGCCTTTCCTTTGACAGAAGAGTAAACTGAGGCCCGGGGCAGGAGTCAACACAGAACTCACTGGAAACTGCAGCAGGATCAACACACCAGTCACCCTGACTCACCACCCAGGGGCCACAGCCAACGCCTGGTTGAGGGGCTCTCGCTCCCTAAGGACACACGACCAGTCCAGAAGTAACCTGAGTTTTACCTGGTGGACACTGAGGGGTTCGTCCCAGGAGTGGGTGAGTGGGTGAGCCTTGCCAAGGGAGTTTCCCAACAGAGTTGACTTCCAGTGCTGCCTGTCCCCAGGGAGGGCATGGCTTATTCTGCAAGGAATCCCCGCATCTTTGGGCGGCCCCTGTCTGACTAGGGAGCAGAAAGCCAAGCTTGGTGCAGCTCAAGTTTCCTTCCCAAGCGCTGAACTTGTCCAAACAAAGAACATCCGCACGCGCACCCCTCCCTCCCCCTCCGACGGCCAAAGCCAAGAAGAGCCTAGGAGGTGGCGGACTCGGCCCAGCCCCGGGCGCTCTCAGCGCCGACTCCCGCCGGGGAGGCTTCGTAGACGCCAGTGCAGGGCGCGTTCACCTCGGATGCGGGCGTGCAGTCACCGCTGGCCGAGTCGCCAGGAGGAAACGATCCGGGCATCCCTGGAGTTGGGAGCGCAGGACCGCGAAGCATAAGGACTCAGTGGGGCGCAAATGCAACCCAAGATCCCCTACGTCCGCGTCCCAGACAGGCCACCCCGGGCGCCGGCGGTCCACGGCAGCTAACTGGTACCACAGCCCCGATCCCCAGCTGGGGAGCAACGAGGGGCAGCAAAAGTGCGTGGGGGAAGCCGTTTGTACTTACAGTCCCCATCCCTGCCCCCGCCCGCCCAGCCAAATTCTCCATGGTCCCGTCCCACCCCTGCCCCGAGAACCGCTCCCCCGGCCAGGGGCCGCTCAGCTGTCCCCTGTCCGTCCACGGAGTTGCAACGCCCGCAAAGGGAGGTTGCGGGGGCGCGGGCCGCGGCGGGCGCCGGGCGCAGGGAGGGGCGGGTGGCGGGCAGGGGCGGCCCGGGAGGGCGCGGCCCGCAGCCATTGGTCAGACGCCCTCTTTGGGGATCCGATGCGGGGCGGCGCGCAGGGAAAAACCCGTTGAGCTTCGGGTAAGGTTGTTGCTTTCTCATCCCCCATGCTGAGACCTCTAAGATAGAGGCAGGGCGGTCAGTGCCAAGATATATAGTTTCTGTGCAGCCCTCGTTTTGATACCAACACAGAACCTAATTCGGGAAAAGAAGCGTCTTGAGTGCTAGCGCGAAAAAGGCGACTAAATTCGCGATCTCGAGTGCCCGCTGGGTTACTGAGGGGAGACCAGGGGAGAGGGGGGCTCGAGGGAAGTCAGGCAGCCGAAGAATAGCTGAGTCGATATTGCAGCCAGATGATGGAAAGGCAAGGCACTGGAGCCAAGTAACCTATGATAATAAAGTCGAAAATGCTGAGACCATGCTGAACTGACCAAGGTGGTGAACAGAGTCGTATTACGTGTACTGGAGAGCAATCGATAAGAGTCAAAAGGAGGCTTTTCCCGGAGAAGCGGAGA